TGTTTCACATTTTGTTTCATTGCAGTCATTTGCTAAAATCAAAAAAGTCCATTTTATTTCTCATTAATGTACACTCAGCACCCCATCTTGATAGAAAAATGGTCATAAGTATGGCTATTTAATCAACTTGATCAACTTTTGTTAATAAAATCTTATATTTAGAAAGAAAGTTGTGGTGAATTTATTCCATATATGTGCAGAATTATGAGTTTGACCATAATTTGAGGTCGATTTAGACTTTCATTTGTTGTTCCAACACAACCAGTTCACAAACTATATATGACAGTCCGAATAATATCTGATAAAATAACAAATTTACCACACCTACTGGGGTGAACAATATAAATATTAAAGCTGCACAACATGAACCTTTTACTAACATAATTTGCTGCTTCTTTCTGTCCCTTTTTGCTCTGAATTATTTGGACAAGAAGGTTTTTTATTCACTCAACTCCCATTTCTTAAAAAGCGCTTCAGTTAACTTTGAAATTAACTAATCTTATTTAATTGATTTGTTGTTTTTTTTTACAAAGACCCTAAAAGTTTTTTTTAGATTGATTCAATATTTTTTTTATAATTGTTAGTTAGTTCTTAACATGCAACTTTATGTTCAGTATTGTGCGGCCTCCAGGCCAAAACTGTCTTTTAAAAAGGTTTTTGATCTCAGCGGGACTATTAAATAGAGGTTAAATAAGAACAAAAAGAATGAACTTTCAATGGGAGGCATCCCTTATGTTGTTTTGATATTTTTAGATCTAGACAGTCAGGTGGGAGAACATTTTCAGTAGCAGATCTATGATTAATGTCATTGGTAGTTAACCTTTGGAGGGTTACAGCATTCTTGTTTTTCTTTAATTTGTTCACCATTTGTTTGAAGGTGGAACACAGAGGTCAAATTTCTTCAGAAATATATTCTGTATAATTATCCTACTTGATGAGCATGGATACTTTTACCACACTGAGTGATGAAGCCGAGGGGCTGGAAACGTACCTCTGATTCTCAGATAAAAAGCAAAACCCTGAATAACCCTGAATAAGTGCATAAAATCCTCTTGCAGAAACAAATGTGGAATCAATGCTTTTGGATGATGTTCAGTCAGTTGGTAGATCTGCTTTTAAGATGAAACTTGTTTTCTACTTTCTTCTGCCATCTCAACAGCTCATTTAGCTCGCATGCAGCTTCAATTATCATTGACTACTTTCCTATAGTCATGTTTCTGTTTTTCATTGTTTCCTTGGGCAGTACAGATTCTGCTTAGAGGTGAACCTTTGCCCAATATTCTTTTGCAGTCTTTACAGGTTAGTCCAGGATCTCCTTTACCCATCACACCATAAGCTTAAATTTCCCTGGTGAATAAAAGCATCCTCACAGCATAATGTGACCGCCACCCTGTCTCACCACACTGTTGATTTGGTGAGACATGGTCGTTACTTTTCTGACACAAATAATAAGGATTTGGCCAAATTTCCCAAAAATGGCTCTTTTT